CATGTTGTAGCACAAGATAATTAGTGTGCGGACCATTTTCATTCATATCGTGCTCTGTGTACACAAATTAGTCAGCATAAATCAGTTAAATGACGAAAAATTAGGTGTATATTTGCTTGTGACCACTCATTATATATATATATATATATATGTGTGTGTGTGTGTATGTATGTATGTATATATATATATGTGTGTGTGTGTGTGTATGTATGTATGTGTGTGTGTGTGTGTGTGTAAGATAGATTTTAGCTTTCTCATATATTACTTCATGAAGACCATCTGCAAAAACAAAATGTTTACTTTTGTGTTTGCAAATCTTGTAATATAACATATGAAGTCAATAATATAACAAGCAGAAATTTGTAATACTATAGTTATCGATGTATATTTCTGTCTTTCCCCAAACGACGCTTTCTCGAACTGGCGTATTACTCTGCTTTCAGACACTGTGCAACGGGTATAAAACTCCGGGAACGATGACATGACGTACTAGTCTTTCAGTTGACGTGGTCGGAAGCGGGTAAGGTATTCTACAACTATTAATTTAAAGGAACTTCATGTATAAGGATTTTACGTTACTATTTCATGAACTGACCACACATATTATTTTGTCTGGGGACAGTGTTTATTTTTTTTCTTTACAACTGACCACAGACATTATTTTGCGAAAGTTCGGGGACAGTGTTTAATTTTTTACACCACGAAATGGCAGAGCCTGAATTAGCAAAAATGCTAGCTCGTCGTCAGGCCATCAATGAGTACACCATTAGTCCGGAAAACGAACGTGTTTGTTCGTTTAACCCTTACAAAGAATTCGCAGAATTCTCGAGAAAAGAAATCAAAGAATACGAAAAAATGTTTAAAAAGTGAGTATCATAAAATGTTTCTGTTTAAATAGTGTTGTGACAGAAAATCTCTAAATCTAAGTTTTAAAAGTATAAGTTAACTCGTTAAACCCAAGCTAAGAAGTGTTTATTTACCACGATTACTTGACGTTAGTTAATAGTACTGACTTCAGTTCAACTTGAGAATAAAACTGCTTAGCTGTCATTTTCAGTTGTTTTGTTCATATGTTTCATGGTTAAAACACACTTGATCTTTTCTCCTGCATCAAAAATATATTAATTACAATAATCCCAAAAGATCCATTCGACGTAAGTGACACCTTGCACAATATTATTGAATAGAAATGTTTTTTAGTCTTGGTTGAATATTCTGTGATTGCAATGTTGTCAACTCTACAAACCGTGAAATGTCGCTATTTACGTTCTAAAGGCGTCTTGTCGCTAAATAAAATCTCCATAAAATTCAATGAAGAGTATAAAAACTTATACAATTCTAAATATATTTTCGTTACCATGAGGAGATACTCCTAAAATAATATCATAAAATTTCTATATTTACTAAACACTGAAAATGTTCTTTGAGTGTAAGTCGCATTCTAACAGATGTTTGTCATAGTTTCAAGGGCATACCTAAATCTCCATAGTGCTCTCGTCCCAGTAACACTTCCCTTCTTTGTGTTGCAAGCAATATGTTCATTTTTTTAAATTTGGATGTTAGCTAGAGGGTGCATGACGTTAAATTGGACTTAGAATACATAGAACGTTCGGAAATATAGAGACTTTGCAAAGTGTCTAGAAACAAGGCCACGTTATAAATACAAGAATCTGCGAGAAGTGAGTCAGTTTAGTTCAGTGATGTATTTAGATCAACACTAACTATTCGCGTATATTCAGTTGCTCGATCGATTAGGCGTAAAATTGTAAAAATAAGTTTTTATTTTTACTTTGATAATAGTATTACTATTATTATGGTATTTCCTTAGGCCTACAACTTACAACAGTGTACAAGTGAAGGCAGCTCGTAGAAACGTTAAAGAAGAAATAAACTAATCTGTTATCGTTACGTGGACTGGACCTCGGATTATTAATAAACTAATCTGTTATCGTTACGTGGACTGGACCTCGGATTATTAATAAACTAATCTGTTATCGTTACGTGGACTGGACCTCGGATTATTAATAAACTAATCTGTTATCGTTACGTGGACTGGACCTCGGATTAATTTCAACAAATAATTTAAAAGAAACCACCCAACGAAATAACAGTACTAGGATATGTGGATGTAAATAGTACTTAATTACTGGTTCTTGGCTTAGGCTGACAACTGCTACTAGATGGCTGTGTTGCTTTAAAAAGCAGGCTACCGTTATTTATATTAGTTTTATAACACTAACAGAGTGTATGAAATTATGAAAAAACAAATACACGCTACCGCTTTTCGCACGATGTTTCGGTAACAGCCTGTATGCAGTTACAACGTACACTAATACACATGTCGCTCATCGTCTCAAGTCTCGGGTTGGGTGCACAACGTACTAACTGATGAACTGTATGTGCATTATTGAGCTGCTTGTGAGTGACTTTTGTGACTATAAATGTCACCAAATATGTGGCTAAGGGAACCCAAAAGTAGCTAGATTTGTCGCTAGGGGAACTCAAAAATGGCTAGATTTAACGACAAAACCACAAGTTGGCAACACTGCAAGTTCACTGTACATCAAGGGTCGACGTTTGTTAGTTTAAACTCCTAAATAGTATTGGTCATTCTGTGCTTATGGTCAGTGTTTTCATCTTTTGGTACTACTTGTGTTCGTTGCTCGTCTAATCAACAGCAATTTCTGGGAGCCGTGCGCTTCTAGAATAACTATCGTGCGGCATCTGAATATATAGTATTAATACACTTAACGTACTACTAAAATAACTATCGTGCGGCATCCAAATATATAGTATTAATACTGATAACGCACTACTAGAATAACTATCGTGCGGCATGTGTATATATAGTATTAATACTGATAACGCACTACTAAAATAACTATCGTGCGGCATCCGAATATATAGTATTAATACTGATAACGCACTACTAAAATAACTATCGTGCGGTATCCGAATATATAGTATTAATACTGATAACGCACTAATACACATGCCGCACGATAGTTATTCTGGGTTATCAGTATTAATACTATATTTTTGATTTATTATATTTGTACCAACTGATAAATGGTAGAGCGATGTCTCAACAAAACCTGATAAACAAATCATCGCATCCATACTACACCCTGTAGTACTTGACTTTTCAGTTCTGTTTAACTTGTCATAATTATTCGCGGTTTTCATTTCAGTAATTTACTAGCCCCTTAAAAAAACGTCCTTAATACTAATAGGTTAAACTTTCCTGAGATACCCTTAGAATAGCATACTGCCTCGTATTAATCATCATTACTATAGAACGCGTGGTTCAAAGTTTAAGAACAGTCAAAGTGAAATAAATCAACTAGGTGGTGAAAGGTACCGTGAAATCTCAGCCTTTCGCGCATGCGCACCTATTAATTTTGTGTTATTGTATGTGAAAGATGAAAAACGCACATAAACGTTGACGTATTGCAAAATAATTTTTGATTTATTAAACAATAAGCACAGGTCCCCCCCCCCAAATTGTTTCGGTGGCAGGGTTACCAGGTACTTGTCTCAAACTACACCTACTGGTCAGTAAGATCCCCTACTTACTGCTGTTTTCATCAATTTTCCACCCACCACGAACATGTGTGATGAATTGCTCAAGAATGAGAATGAAAAACTTTTATTATTTTATTATATATTTTATTATTATTTTATTATATATAGACTGTTATTAAGTGTACCTTACATGGTTGTGTAATGAATGAATAGTTATCAATGCAAAAT